GGCCCGGGCTGGATTTGATCCTGCCACCTTAGGTGTATGTGGCTGGCGCCTTAGCCACTTGAGCCACAGAAGCCAAGCCTCATCATTTTGAAACAAAGCATGTTCAATACAACAATGCACTAAAAACTGTGGGACATATGCTGTCCTTACCAGGAACTAATGCTGCGACTGGACGTGTTTTTTCTATGGTAAATAAAGTGTGGATATCAGAAAAATCACAATTAAGTGTTGAGACTTTGAAAAGCATTTTATGTGTGAAATATAATTTAACAAATTCTTGTGAAAAATGTCATGACCTTTTAAACAATGACAGCGATCTACTAAAAAAAAATTCACTCAAATGAGAAATATGCCGAAGAATAAAATAATACTATACATAATTTTTTAATGTATTATATATTTGTAAATTGTACTTATGTTAAAATTAAAAAATATATATTACAATACTATTTTTGTGTTCTATGAAAATTTTTGTTGCTCCATATAGACCAAATTTTTAATTAAGGAACCCCCCCACCCCGGTCAATGGTGTCCTGCTTTACCAATGTTAAAATCTGGTCACCTTATAATAAGCTCACTCAGAAATGAAAAAGCAGCAGATCAGCCCCTGTAGCTCAGTGACTAGCCACATACACCAGAGCTGGCAGGTTTGAATCCAGCCTAGGCCTGCGAAACAACAATGACAACTACAACCAAAAAACAGCTGGGTGTTGTGGTGGGTGCCTGTAGTCCCAGCTACTAGGGAGGCTGAGGCAAGAGAATTGCCTAAGCCCAGGAGCTGGAGGTTGCTGTGAACTCTGATGCCAGCAACTCTACCCAAGGCGAGAGCTTGAAGCTCTGTCTCAAAAAAAAAAAAAAAAAAAGGAGAAATCATCACTGATACCATGGAAATACAAAATATCATCTCTGAATACTATAAAAATATGCACTTAAACACGAAAATGTGGAAGAAATGGACACATTCTTTTTTTTTTTTTTTTGAGACAGAGCCTCAAGCTGTTCGCCTGGGTAGAGTACCGTGACATCACAGCTCACAGCAACCTCTAACTCCTGGGCTCAAGCGAGTCTCCTGCCTCAGCCTCCCAAGTAGCTGGGACCACAGATGCCTGCCACAACGCCTGGCTATTTTTTGGTTGCAGCTATTCATTGTTTGGTGGGCCCGGGCTGGATTCAAATCTGCCACCTTAAGTGTATGTGGTTGGTGCCTTAGCCACTTGAGCCACAGGCGCCGAGCCGACACATTGTTGAAAATACACAACCTTCCTAGGCTCAATCAGAAAGAAATAGAACTTCTAAAAGACCACTCAACTAACAAAACTGAAACAATAAAAAACCTCCCAACCAACTTCTGAGCCAGATGGTTTGACAGTCAGATTTTACCAGACCTACAAAGAAGAACTAATAACTGTACTACAGCAATGATCCCCTAACAACAGAGAGGAAGGAACCCTTCTCATCTTGTTCTGTGAAGCTATTACCACCTTGATACCTAAGCCAGGAAAGGGCATAACAAAAAAAAAGAAAACTATAGACTAATATCCCTTATGAATATGTGCTAATATTCTCAAAAAAAAAAAAAAATCCTGGCTCGGCACCCGTGGCTCAAGTGGCTAAGACGCCAGCCACATACACCTAAGGTGGTGGGTTCGAATCCAGCCCCGGCCTGCCAAAAACAACAATGACAGCTGCAACCAAAAAATAGCCGGGCGCTGTGGTGGGCACCTATGGTCCCAGCTACTTGGGAGGCTGAGGCAGGAGACTCACTTGAGCCCAGGAATTGGAGGTTGCTGTGAGCAGTAATGCCACAGCACTCTACCCAGGGGGACAGCTTGAGGCTCTGTCTCAAAAAAAAAAAAAAAAAAAAATCCTAGCAAACCAAATTCAGCTGCACAAAAAAAAAAAAAAAAAAAAAAAAAAAACTGGGGCAGCACCTGTGACTCAAAGGAGTAGGGCACCAGTGCCATATGTCAGAGGTGGCAGGTTCAAACCCAGCCTTGGCCCAAAACAGAAAAAAAAGAAAAAAAAAACCTACTACAATCAAGTGGGCTTTATCTAAGAGATGCAAGGATGGTTTAATACATGCAAATCTGTAAGGGCCATTCACCATATAAACAGAAGGAAAATTAAAAACCATATAATTCCCTTGACAGACGCAGAAAAAGCATTTGACAAAATTTGTCACCTTTTTATAAGAACTGTCAACAAGGTCAGAACAGTGGCTCATGCCTGTAATCCCAGCACCCTGGGAGGTTGAGGTGTGTGTGGACTGCCTGAGCTCAGGAGTTCAAGACCAGCCTAAGCAAGAGTGAGAACTCATCCCTAAAAAATAGCTGGGCATTGTGGCACGAACCTATAGTCCCAGGTACTTGGGAGGCTGAGGCAAGATGATTGCTTGCCCAAGATTTTGAGGTTGATGTGAACTATGACATCAAAGCACTTTTAACCAGGGCGACAAAGTGAGACTGTGTCTCAAAATTTAAAAAAAAGGGCCTTTCTCTCTTGGGGCTGTGGAGGGTCCGTATCTCCTCAGCCAAGGATGGAGGCCAACAGACCCTGAGGATCACTGTGAGGACTGCCATGAGCGGGCAGCCTTGTTTTCCTGCCTTAGACAATTGGAAAAAAAAAAAAGAAAGAAAGAAAAGGGGCTCAGCACCCATAGCTCAATGAGCAGGGTGCCAGCCATATACACCGGGGCAGGTGGGTTTGAGCCTGGTCCAGGCCTGCTAAACAACAATGACAACTGCAACCAAAAAAGAGCCGGGCACTGTGGCGGGCATCTATAGTCCCAGCTACTTGGGAGGCTGAGGCAAGAGAATTGCTTAAGCCCAAGAGCTTGAGGTTGCTGTGAGCTGTAATGCGAGGACACTCTACTGAGGGCGACATAGTTTCAATTAAAAAAAGAAAGAAAAAAGAAAAGGAACTGTCAACATAATAGATATAGATGGCATATACCTCAGTACTCTGAAAGCCATAAGACAAACTCACAGTCAACATCATCCTGAACAGGAAGAACCTGAAAACATTCCTGCTTAGAGCTGGGACCAGACAAGGGTGCTCACTGTCACCACTTCTGCCCATCTGTGCCTCCAGGCACTTTTGTGCTGCTGCTGAATGGCACACACCCTCTAGTATGTGTAACACACTGCTTTGCAGACCTGCTTCTCTTACTAGACTCTACACTTTCTTCTAATTTTTAAAAAACAAAAACCGCACTAATTCAAAGTTGCTCAATACGTGGTCACCTAAATAAAATGTTAGTGCTTGTGACCTAAGGATTTTGGTTGGGGATTATCCTGTGTAGGTGAATATATTTTCTTTCTTTCTTTCTTTTTTTTTTTATTTGAGACAGAGCCTCAAGCTGTACCCCTGGGTAGAGTGCTATGGCATCACAGCTCACAGCAACCTCTAACTCCTGGGCTCAAGCGAGTCTCCTGCCTCAGCCTCCCAAGTAGCTGGGAC